CAGCTTTATGATCTGCTGACTCTGTGGTTACTTTAGAATTAGAAGACAGCTACAGACACACACCGGTTTACCGGAAATGGAGGAAAAATCGATACATATTTTTGCGTGTCATTTGTGTCTTTTCATGTGTCATTTTTTGTTGTATGAATTATTAATATTGCAAACACAAATTAAACTTCAGGACAGCACATAACACAGCAGAACTAGTCCTTGACTAAAAGGTAAAAGCGATGATACAGAGAAATAAGACAAAATGTCTGCCTGTGATAACAACAGACTTCTTGCCCAGCTGATTTTGAGGTGAGGCAATGTATAGTTTGGCGATAAATTGGTTTTAAAGGAATACTTGACCCACAAAATGACCATTTGTATAGGCCTATCAGCTAGTCATGTCATGTTACCTTGAATTCCTTAAGAAAACATTTTCACATTAAAAAAGCATTTTCACAAAGAAAAAGCAGAGAGCATACATAAATTGCACTGAGCGCACTTTGAGCAAATTAAACTTTAGGTAGCCTAACTTACTAGAATAATATAATCGCTTGCTTTTTCAGTCTACTACATACATTTTGCTGCTGCAAAAAAATGGCTGAAGTGAGATGAAGAGACTGAAAACGTTATCCCATTAGATAGAACAGATGTTGACAAGGTTTCTTTGGGGGACATAATTTACAGTTGAAAAAAAGGTGATAAATCACAATATATTTTATCGCAATACTCAGCATATCACAAAATATTTGTTGGAGCTATAATAAAGTTTTTGTTTGTTTATTTTATCCTTATCTAAATAAGGAATGGAATCCAGGAATGAACCCTAAAACCTGGAAATGACCCTTGCAGCCTTATTGTGGTGGCAATGTTAAAGTAATGCAACCGTATAAAGGCCGTTAAACACTAGCTAGCTAACAGTTGTCTAGCTAACAGTAGGCTACATAAAGACTGTTAACCACTAGCTAGCTAACAGTTGTTTAGCTAACAGTAGGCTACATAAAGACCGTTAACCACTAACTAGCTAACAGTTAGCTAGCTAACAGTAGGCTACATAAAGACCGTAAACCACTAGCTAGCTAACAGTTAGCTAGCTAACAGTAGGCTACATAAAGACAGTTAACCACTAGCTAGCTAACAGTTAGCTAGCTAACAATAGGCTACATAAAGACCATTAACCACAAGTTAGCTAACAGTTGTCTAGCTAACAGTAGGCTACATAAAGACCGTCAACCACTAGCTAGCTAACAGTTGTCTAGCTAACAGTAGGCTACATAAAGACCATTAACCACTAGCTAGTTAACAGTTGTCTGGCTAACAGTAGGCTACATAAAGACCGTTACCACTAGCAAGCTAACAGTTAGCTAGCTAACAGTAGGCTACATAAAGACCGTTAACCACTAGCTAGCTAACAGTTGGCTAGCTAACAGTAGGCTACATAAAGACCGTTAACCACTAGCTAGCTAACAGTTAGCTAGCTAACAGTAGGCTACATAAAGACCGTTAACCACTAGCTAGCTAACAGTTAGCTAGCTAACAGTAGGCTACATAAAGACCGTTAACCACTAGCTAGCTAACAGTTAGCTAGCTAACAATAGGCTACATAAAGACCATTAACCACAAGTTAGCTAACAGTTGTCTAGCTAACAGTAGGCTACATAAAGACCGTCAACCACTAGCTAGCTAACAGTTGTCTAGCTAACAGTAGGCTACATAAAGACCATTAACCACTAGCTAGTTAACAGTTGTCTGGCTAACAGTAGGCTACATAAAGACCGTTACCACTAGCAAGCTAACAGTTAGCTAGCTAACAGTAGGCTACATAAAGACCGTTAACCACTAGCTCGCTAACAGTTGTCTAGCTAACAGTAGTCTACATAAAGACCGTTAACCACTAGCTAGCTAACAGTTGTCTAGCTAACAGTAGGCTATATAAAGACGTTAACCACTAGCTAGCTAACAGATGTCTAGCTAACAGTAGGCTACTTAAAGACCATTAACCACTAGCTAGCTAACAGTTAGCTAGCTAACAGTAGGCTACATAAAGACCGTTAACCACTTGCTAGCTAACAGTTAGCTAGCTGACAGTTAGCTAGCTAGGTCAGGGTTACCACAGGTCCTTGAGATCCTGATAAGTTTGTGAATTTGAGGGAGAAACATTTTAGACCTTGGACATTTTTGAAAATAGACGACATGGCAAAGGTCATTTCAAGTACTTAGATTTGTAAAAAATTTTTTTTACAAGAATAGATATCGCTCAGCTTACACAATATATTTTATACAATATACAATATATATTGCTGAGCAGCGTCAATTACTTGAGCTTCTGTAAAGCCTGCCAGTTCTCATTATAAAAATTCTCAGTGTTGCAACAGTAGTTAACCTTGATCTGTTTCTCAAACTATGCCAGGTTGGGTTCTTGAATTTGAGGGAATTTGGCCTGGTAAGCCATTGAAAACTCCTTGAATTTTAAGTTTAAGAAGGTGTGAGAACCCTGCTAAATTTCATCTTCCATCAAGCAGTAATGTGTCTGTATTTTTACAGCACCTCACCATGTTATCAGCAATTAATGTCATTATAATCTTAAAACAAACCGAACCTCCCAGCAGAATATATGGTCTATATGGTCTGTACAGGGGGGGAAGCAGAAGCTCCACTGTGCTTAGTGAAAGCTCCCTCCAGGCTTTACTGGATCTGCTTCTGCCAGCTGTAAATATTGATTTTCCAGGCAGGAAGACCATTAAATACTCTGAAAGAACATAGGATGAGTCGGGTCTAAATGTGGGGTTTACACATTAAAAAATCAATCCTGTTGGATCTTAAAAGGACGAGGCTACAGTGGGTTAAATGTTCCATTACTGGCCAGACCAACAGAAATGCTACGCTATGCTATATATTAATGGTTGTTTGGTGAATTCCAAGCTAATTATGGTCAGCTATGGGGTTTGAAATATGTGGAGGAAAAAATCAATTAAATAAAGAAAAAAGGGAAGTTGTAATCCATATTATGAATGAGGCTGGCTCACATACAGTATAAGCCTGCTGAGCTGCCACAGTGACATCCACAGGAGGCCATAGGAAACAGCAAGGAGCCTACAATGTATAATCAGTTTAACAGTCAGTCCATAATTTAAAGGCTATACCTGTTGAATATAGGATTTAACAAAAAATTAGCTGGTAGAATTATTATTCTACCATTAACTACAGGCTTATTAGGTCTAATACTTAAAACAAAACTGACCACAGTTTATTTGGAGGCTTTATCTATTTGTTTTTGTTTGTTTTAGGTGCTAGTTGTTTCAATAGTTAGCAGGGGTGGAAAGTATCTAAGTAGGCTAAAGGCCGGTGATATTCAACTTGTGGCTCTTGGGCCAAATCTGGCCCGCAATTGCTTTATACCGGGATTTTTTTTGTTCTTTGAATGTATATAATGTGACAGAGTGCATAAAAAAGCAATAAACAGAGCTTTTTTTTCCTACCCTCCCTCCCACCAAAAAGAAAAGTCCTAGGGAGGATTTCCCTTGATCCCCCAAGCCCTGAATGTCCTCACATCCTAGCAACACCCCGGCATACACCTGACCTGTGCAGGGCTGCTGCGACTGGACTTGCCTCTTGACAAAGATGAGCAAGGACAGTAGACATCAGAAGGTTGAAAAACAGGTAATACCCTTTTTATATATACTGATAAATATTATTTGTTGTTTATCACCTGAGTTTTGAGAATTTTAAACCAGTGATTCCCAACTGGTCCAGCCACGGGGTCCAGATTACTCCTGAGTCATTAGTTCAAGGTCCACACAGTTTAATACATTCAGTGTCATACTTGTGCTTGGCCATGTTATCGAGCTAGTTTGCTGTCTCTGTTAACTAGCTGTCAGTTAGTCACTCACTCTACAGCAGGAAACAACAACTCTAAATAAAAGGTCTTGGCTGGAAATTTAATGTACATTAAAATAAAATGAGGGTTTTTTTTTTTACAAACTTGACATGATTGCAAGTCACTTGTGGTCCATTCACCATGGGCCCGTGACCCACTTTTGGACCGTAACCCACCAGTTGGGAACCACTATTTTAAAGGGCCATATTGTGACAAGCACTGCAAACAACATTTGGCCATAAATGCCGTGGTTTGTGTCATTGGTTTATGATATATAGCCTAATAATTGTCTGTAAAAAAAAAAAAAAAAAAAAAAAAAAAAAAAAAAAAAAAAAACTTTATTAATTCCTGAGGGGAAATTGTGATTCGTTATAGTCGTTCGGATGTAAAGAAAGAAACAAATTATAAGACATAAGAATAAGAGTATGAAATAAAAGTATGTAAATATAAAGCAATAAAATAAAACAAAATAAAATAAAAATGTACATTAAAAAAATAGAATATGCATTATGCTGCAATGTTTAAAAGTAATATTTAAAATATAAAAATAGAAAATATCATCACTGTGAGGCTGTAAGTGTGAATTTTAACTACAATATATACATCAATAGAATAAACAAGAATAGAATAAAGTAAACATAAGAAATATGTAGTTATGTGCATGATAAAGACCTATACTGAAATATATTGCACAACTGAATAATTTCGTTTTCAGTGTCTTTTTTAAAATGACAAAAAACATTTAATGAATAAATAATTTCCCTGCATATAATGCAGTTAAAATTCATTAAATCTCTGTATACAAAATACATGAGTAACAATAATCTAATATTGTCGTATATAATATTATAACACTGACAGGGCCATTCTCCTGCATAAATACTTTTATTTTTAACATGCATGTTTCTGATTACACCTCTTTACTTTAACTACAGTTTTGAACGCAGAGCTTGTTTTTATGACGGAGTATTTTTAAATTGTGGTATTTCCACTGTCATTTCCCACAGTTATAATTATGGAGCTCTGTCCTTGAAGCGATGCCTCGGTCGTCCGACAGGCGGCGCTCTCGGTCCATGTCCCCTTCAGCAGCAGCAGCATGGCAGCGTTATTTCTAAGCTTTTCCTTTTTTCTGTTTTTTTCCTCCCTCGTGGGATACAGACCGCTATTCTCAGACCCCCAGAGCCGGAGCCGAACAACTGTGGCCTTATAAAACGGACTGAAAGCACCGACAAGGACACACATTTCAAGGTGAAACACTGAATGAACTGCACGCACATTTTGGATGTAGATTTCTGCTCCGGTCACTTACAGTAAGTAAAACATTGGAACTTTTTTGGGGCGTTTTTACGCATATAACAGGTTGATTTTGGAGGAAACGCGCGGTCGAAGTGTGGGCTGAAATTTTGCTTACAGGTTGTTATTTGTGCAGCTTTCCTCTCTGTGTCTGCTCCAGATGTTGCTGCCAGTCCATCCCTGATCCGGAGCAATGTCAAATAATCCACTCTGGGCTTTAAAGGGAGTTTTTGATGAACTGTTGCACCGAGTCTGGCTCTGTTTATATCCGTTTCCACTTGGATTAAGTGGTGCCACTCGACAGGCTGCACTAGTACAGCTTTAATTAATTCATTTATTCATTCAAGTCATGCAGGATTTCGTGTTGTGTAATTTTTATAGCAACCTGATCAGTTATTTGGACAGTTAGGGATTGTGTAAGAGCTTGCAATGGAGTCATGGGATTCCCTGCACATACTCCTGATCCCTTTTCCTGTGGGATATGTGTAGGAGGGTGCAGTAAAATTCAATTCAGATTATTTTCTGAGGACGTCATCTGTGCTGTTGACAGCTGAGACAGATTAAATATGTAAAATACACATAAATTAGATACAAAGCTAAGGTTAAAACACACAAGTAAAAGCCAGGGGCAGTAACAGTGCCATTATTTTAAATTTATCTTATTTTGGGGGGTTTAATGACAGAATCGTAGATGTGACATGGATTTATGCACACATATTTTAGTAGTTTGTTGGCCATGAATAAGTTTGGGACGCCTTTTTTCAACCTATGAAGTTTTGCCACTAATAAAAATCTGTTTTATTAATTGTATTTAGCCAAATAATCACACATGACAAATGAAATCTTTACTCACGCTGGGGGGGGGGGGGGGTAAGGAGATAAATAAGTTAGATGTCCTCCCTTTTTGTGTGAAAATCACTAATAAAAATCTGTTTTATTATCTTTTTTTGGCCAAATAATCACATATGACGAATTAAATCTCTATTCAAGTAGGCTAGGAGGAAGAATAAATAAGATAAATGAGTCATGTGTCCTTCCTTTTTGTGTGAAAATCACCAATAAAAACCAGTTTTATCATCTTTATTTAGTCAAATAATCACACAGGACAAATGAAATCTTCACTCAAATAGGCTAAGGGGGAGAGACAAGGAGATACAAAAGTCGGATGCCCCCCACCCTCTCTGTGTGAAATCAGGTTTAAATGTTAGTTATTCTGTTTGCACACAAGAGGTTGGATTAGGCAGCCTGGTGTGAGAAGCAAACCAAGTTGCCCATTTAAAATTTGGCAACCATGTTTAGTGTCCTAGCCAGTCAGGGTGAACAGAGGAGATAACACAATCTTGTCTGAGGAGCAGGGACAACACGTCTAAGTGCAGACTTTTGATAAAATATTTGGAGGCGAGCCTCTTATCTATCAGCCCCTCCACTCCTGAGCATAATTAGCAGCCTAATCCCCGCTGTAGAGCCGCTACCTGCTGGAGTGACATGTTTTAGTGCCGGCTCGACTTGCCTCGGGCTCAGGAGGGAGCTCAGCTGAACTTAATAGGTGTTGGGAAATTTCGCCCGTTTGACACCGGCTGGGTAAATTGGAGTGGCCGATAAAGGCTCGGTGACATCATGATTGAAGTGGGACTTCACGTGATACTGACCACCGTCCTGTCTGGCATCCTGCTGGTGGCCGTGGTGGCGGTGCTTTGCTTCTTTTGCTGCAGACTGGCTGGTTCAATGCCGCTGGGCGGACCTGGCAAATTCTAATGGCAGGTGACGACTACCTGTGGCCTGATGCATTCGAGGAACTGTCAAAGCAACTGGCTTGGAGTACGTCATTCTGTATGAATACTCTGCCTTTTGATTTCATCCACTGACTCCTGCAGGGTCGGTGCTGTTGGTTCAGACTTGTCTGTTTCTCAGAAAACCAGTTGCAGCTGGCACAATTACCAGTCAGAGCAAGCTTTTGGAGGTGTTGACAAGATGATCTTTGCAAGCTAAATGTTATAACAGTAAATAAAGAAAGGTGGAGTCCATGGTGTGTGAACAGGACATGATGACAGGCCAAAGCTTGTTGGGAAATACAACTAACAAAACAGAGGGAAGGATGTATTGGCCTACTTATTTCACAATTTTGAGGGACGGTATTGGAGATATTTGCACGCAGCCTTGTCCAAACAGAACAAAGAAGTTCAGATTTATTTACTCAAGACCACAAGTCATGATGTGGAGTTCAAACATGGAACAAGACAGCAATACAAAGGTAAACAACCACAACAGATCAGTAACACAAACTGAGTCATAAAAAGAGGGCCTGAATGTTACTCTATCGGCAAACACAAATTTAAACATAGACAGGTGGGTTACAAAGTTTTCTGGCAGGTACGTCTTCCTATTCACCACAGTGTTTTTACATTCAAACAAAACATACTCAGAAGCCCTTTATTAGATTTGCACAGGTAAGATTTTTGTAGTAGAAGTATCTTTTTCTTCTCATGGGTGAATGTATCCAGTCAATCAGTCGCTGTTAATCAGCTTTGTTATGGCCCTTAAACCTCTCAGTGCTATGGAGCTCAATCCCATTAAAATGACCTTGACTATAAGCACAGAGAAGAAAGGAGGAGCGTGTGAATAATTACAGATGAAAGGCTGACTTGCCAGGACCCATAAGGGCCCCTGTTGTGACTACTTACATTCACAGCGAGGCCTCCAGCTTAACTTCACCGAGCTTTCCTTTTGTTTCTGCTGCAAAGCCCGATGGGCTTGATACTTTTTTTTTTTTTTTAATACAAGGTCCAGGTTCAACAACACACAAAATCATCTTTCATCAACACAGCTTTGATGGCATGAAAACAGACTGACCATTGTTTGCAGTCTCCTGCCTTGTTTGATCTGTAGAGAAGGGAGCAAGAAATAGTAGCACTTCTCTTCGTAATTTCTGTTAGGGTCCCACTAAGCAAAGAAGTAGGGATAGTAGGGTCGGTGTTGGCTGATATTCACCTTGTTGACTGCCATCGGCCTATCAGCAAACAAGATGACATTGACTGATGGCAGTGGCCGAGGTTTTTTTGTTGTGTCACTTCAATTCTGTGCAGGTTAAAAAGCAGGGCTCCCGACTTAAGTCCCCGGGACACAAATTTGTGTCTCATAGGATAGGAAAAGCATGACTTGCCCCCCTCCCCCTCTGATTGGCTAGTACTCAGTGCCTCTGTTGGTTGGGTTGGTTAAAGGTGCTTCTCAAAGTCAAGAAGGATCCTCAGGAGCTGCACACATGCTGCATTTTTGCGCCCTCAAATTCATTGTTTTCAATGTAGACATGTTGCAGGCACGCTCAAACTCCAGAGTAACAACATCACTGCGTGCACATGTTCCCAAGCACCTGTTTTTTAGGATGCGATGGATGCGCCCCAAGATAAACAGAGTTCAACTTTTTGAACCCAGCAGCGCGCACGGCATGTCATGTGTTGAGGAACAACCAATCACAACCGCCAAACATCTTTCCCTTCTTCCGTAAATATCAGTCTGTGGTAAATATGGAGAAGTTGATCATGTTAGTGCAGGGCTACCCAGAGCTTTATCATCTGTCCCACAGACGATAGGCCTACACACTTATGAACAGCGCCCATTCTCGGAACCCATCGGCTGTATTCGGCGTCCGACTTCCAGCAGACGGCGATACAGCCTCTGGGGGCAGACCCCCGATTTTTTGGCATTCCGGTTCGATTTGGGGGACGAGGCGAATTTCCGTTTCCGACTTCCGTTTATATATAAGTAAATATGCTGAACCATTGCGGTGGATTCAGAGTTTGCAGTGACACCAGTTATGTTCCGCCTCGTTAGTTCACCACACGGACCGTTTAACCTGGCAACAGCTGCAGCCGGCTCAAACGTGGTTGGTCAATATCATGCGGACTACAAACAGCCTACAACCGGAAACCAGGGCTCTTTCGCTCTTCTTCAGGAGGCAAGATCTCCGGGGTTTGCCTGCAGACTCTACGTTCACTGAATGTAGAGTCTGTATATAGAGACTAAACAGCGCCTGGAAGAAGATCAGCTCTGCACTCAGGATTTTAGGTAAATAAGCTTTGATACAGTGCTTGTTAAGATTGCTTAGCAACCTCAGACGCAACCTGCCACCGCACTCTTGAAAGCTGGCACAGAAAGGATACAAAAGTAGCGCCCAGCACCCGACCTCTCGTTTTCCATGTGGTTAAAGAGGCGTGTGTACGGCCCCTTAAATGGCTGAAAATCGAGGCTACGTCATCAAATTCCGCCGAAGGACTGTTCCAGTGTCAAGGATCCTTCGAATTCTACTGAGGACCGAGTCCCTCCTTTAGAGAATACTCAAGCATGCATGTGTGTATCCTCAGCAGGTACCCACAATTCTTTGAGCATGATTTGCCGGAATTGAAGGTGGGGCCTGTTGAATAAGGCACACCCAGGCACTTGCTGGTCTGTTCCAATGTGTGTTCACTCAATGCTAGGAAGGAGTCATGCCTAGGCACTGTAGGACTCGTCCTATCAAGGAAGCATCCTTGACTTTGAGAAGCAAAGGATTAAGCAAGACGAGTGAGATTGGTTCAAGCCCTCAGGAACAATGTCGAGCTTTGGAGACAATTTTTACAATGTGGCCAAACCTGGATTACAACTTCCTGGTCAGTCACGTGATGTCAAGGGGTCAAGAAAGACTCTCTCCCATAGACTTAAATTCGGAAAGAGAGGTCCGTAATTTAGTGGATTCATTTTTATTTCTAGTGTTTCAACCCCTGCGAATTGACTTGTTTCACTATCATCACTATATATTTAATTCGCAGGGTCCGATAACATTTTGAAAGTCTAAAAGAGCCATTTAATTTAATCTTTTCATCCACATTCAAGTTAGCAGAGTGCTAAACTGGAAGTTAGCTGCTCAGCTATTGTAAAGTCTCTAGTGGACGCTCTCTTTGAGCCCCATAATGTGGTATAGATCCAGGTAATTTCAAACTGCAGAAATTGAGTTTTTTCGGCTTCATGCACCACAGAATAATTTTCATAGGAATCAGTGGGAGCCCACCTCCAACGCTGTATCCTGTTCTTTTCATACATCCATGGATGAGTTAGGTTTAGGGTAAGAATGTCGGGGTAAACCAGTCAGAGGCATATAACGGAAGAGCAGGGTGGGCCATGCCTTTGCATATTAACGTCCTGGGGATGTGAATTTGTTCTTTGGGCTGATCTTACCTGGGGTGCCTTTGTGATGAAAGGGCACAGTAAACTCACTATCGACACTTCAGGGGACACACCCTATTGTTTGCCTGATAATGCCACATTGTGAACAATGAATCTTGGTTGACATCTGTAAGAAAAGAGCTAGTAAACGTTAGCCTTTAGCCACCTGTGGCCACAACTAACTGCAAACAGAGGTTGCATTGAGTTACATTATGATGAGTTCAAGCTCTATTCAGTAAAAATGAGCATTGGGTTTTTTGTTGGGAAACTTTAATAAATACAATGGAAGGACACATTTGTTGATGTTCTCACAGCAATATACAGTACACATTAGGGAGGAAACTATGGTATATTATACAAAGTAATAAGGCTTTTTAGGCAGTTATTTTTTTAAAACTGTGAAAGAAGGTTATTTTTAGGCAGGGATGCTCAGATTGCTTTGCTTGGGGGCCACTCCTGCAAAAGGAAGCCAGGGGTCAATCGCAGCAGCCCCAAAAATGAACGTAGGGGCGTTCCTAGGTTTTTAGGACACTGGGAGCTTAGCCAAGACCTCTGTCAGGGGGTGCAGGGATCCTCCACTGGCACTTTTTTTGTCTTTTTTTTACACACTCTGGCACCTTATGTACAATAAAAGTACAAAAACAGTTACCAATTTATTGTAATTCTGAATTTAAAAAAGGGTTTGGGGGGCCACCCAGCACCCTGTTGGGGGCTAGATTCTGCCCATGGGTCGTATATTTAGTATCACTCTTATAGCAGCTAAGTCTAAACTTAAAGCCACTGAGGGGCTGCACCGTGACTGACCACTGCTCTTCAGTGAAAACAAAGAGTCTATTTCTTCTCCTTCTTTGATGCATAATTTATTCATCACCACTGTAGTCTTGAATGAAACTTGTAAACATTCATCGAATCTGTGTCCATAAACCAAGTTTCACCAACACATAGAGCACCACACACCTGTTTCAGAAATTTGTAGGACTGAATTCATTCAAAGATAGTGTAACAAAGGACTACATAACTTTAAAACTGTTATTTTCTTACAATGAAGATTTCTTTGTTTCCCTGCCACAAAAAAGGAAATACATAACAACAAAAACAAGATAAACAACAACAATAAAACCCATCAGTATCGGCTATTGGCCAAATTGTTATGTTAAACACTGGTGTCTGCATCAGCCCAGAATTTCACAATCAGTGCATCCCTACAATGAACCAATACTCTGGTGGAGCTGACTGTTTTGGTCACTTCCAGTTCAAAGAGTGGATATTTTAAGGAGTACAGCATGAGCAAGAAGTGAGTAAACACACATTAAGCCAGTGTGTCACAGTCTGTGTGTGACAAGATGACACACATTTAATTTCTACTGTGTGTGCTCCTCTGCTCTCTCTAGCTGTGAGGCGACAGCAGACAGGCTTCCTCAGCTTCTCAAAGTGGCATGTTAAGGCTGTCTGGAGTTACGCATCAGCCGCACTGAGACGACAACATGAAGGTGACAGCCCTGCTCATCGTTTGCTCCTGTCTGATGTCGGGGAGTTTGGGGAAGCCACTATTCCCTGGTAAGTTACCGTGTTGTTAGTCAGTCACTCAAAAAAAAAAAAAAAAAAAAAAAAAGCATCAGGAGATGTTCAGCACACATTGGATGGGTTCCAGGGTTGTAGGGGAATGTTTGAACCTTTTAAGGAAGTTTGTATATCAAATAGATTTCCTGTTCTTTTATAAAGAAAAAAAACCCACTGGATATTTTTCCGCGGTAGAAGTTTCGGTGGTGCCAAGAAGATTACAGGAATATATTGTTTATTTTTTGTTGAAGACCACCCTGCTGCTCCCTAGGAAATAGATGTGTGTTTGTCCTGTAACTCCTGCTGTCACATTTTATATGAAGAGGTAAACCTAGACATCAGACATGTAATACAAGTTCTCAAAATGTGAAATTGTTTGTTGCTTTTAGATGATCTGAGTGATTTGGTGACAGTTAGCTGCAATGATTTGTCCATTAACTGACTGACAGAAAAGGTATATGCAATTATTTTGATGTTTGAAATATTTGTCATTTTTAAGCAGAAATACCAAAACATTTGGCTAATCTGACCCTTTTCTATTAATATCTTTTGGTTTTGGACTGTTATGTTTACTATACATTAAAGGACTTTGAAAAGACTAAAGTCTGATACTCTCTCACATCTGAAATCAATGTAAGTCTTTAGTCACAGACTAAAGCCCCGTTTCCACCAAACACTTTCGGTATGGTACCTTTGGAACCGAAAGTAACCCTTCAGACATGGTACCTAGACCCTAGCGTTTCCACCACAAACAGTACTCTTAAATGTGGGCGGGGTTGTTGTCACTCACTGCTCTGTTCAGCACTCACTGTATTTCCTCATTACCGGTGACACAGATGGAAGTCTGAACCTTGTTTATCGTCCACAGAACGAGGCTGCACGCCGATATTTTCAGAGCAAAATAGAACAGGCTGCAGTGAGAGTCTCTCTCCATGGGATATTTTAAAATAGCATGTTTGTGCATTTAGTCCTTCTCAGGCAAGCTCAGGGGTTTAATGTTGCTGGAGCCCACAGGAACGATGCTCTGCGACACTTTTTTTTTCTCCAAATGAGGAGTGGGTTAAATGCCATCCTGGTTGAAATTAATATGTATTAAAGCTTGAAGATCAACTCATTACTAAAAGTGTCTGTCATATAATAACTAAAGTAATGGTCAAAGTTGTCACAGTTGAAATTTAAGGTGTGTTGATAGAATCATGTTGTCACCTCATGCAGTAACATTACAAGTTAATGTTCCACCTTAAAAGTCACCGACAGTCGGCCCTGTAAATTAAGTTATTTTTTCTCCGACTCCAGCTGCTGTGAGAGGCAGCAAAACATCCTTTCATTTTATAGTTACAGTTTACTAATAAAACTCTCCACAGTATGAGCAGTGGTTACATGAGCCTCAAAACCAGCCACAACTCAGCCCTGAGCAGAGTAACCGTCCTCTATTGACCAATCAACAGACTGCAGTGTTCACAGCTCCACCTTTTAGTACCAGGGGCCTCATTTATAAAGCTTGCTTACGCACAAAACGGGGCTTGAAAGTGGCATACGCCACTTACCACGCAAAGGTTGTGATTTATAAAAATAAACTTGGCGGGAGAATGTGCGCACCTGTAAGCAAACTCTGAGTCATGCGTGCGCACAAATCCAGCAGCCTTATTTTGTGCTTGGAGTGAGTGATAATTGTTTCATAAAAATATTGTAAAATCCAACTCAAATCCTGAATTGAAATTCTTTCTAAATACGTATTTAATCCGCACTGCCTCTAACGTCTCATTGTCCACTCTGTCAGCGCAGGAGGGGGAGAGGATGGCGCGACTGCATGGAATATATTTATTTATTTAGCTAAATATTTCCAGTGCATTTATCATGTCTCGAAATACAGCCATTAAGCACAACCGTTACACTTATTTCATCAGCGCTACTTAGACATGTGCTGTTCATGACAAAACCGGCATGAAGAAATGTGTTCGCCTATTACACTTTCATCTTTGAATTGTATTTCATATTACACGTTGTGTTTTGGGACCGGGATACCACTGGTTCATGCTGTAATTCAGGCCGGTGTCTGATCAGACTAATTGCCATAAACATATAAATACTGCGGTGACCCTCGTGCGTAATTGCGCAAGATGGCACTGGCACATAATCCTTTTTGCCTCCACCTTTAATAAATGTGATTCTTTATGTCGCACATCAATGTCAAACATCCTCAAATTTAAAAGCAACACATTAACTACATGTTGGTAAAGGAGTAGAAATATTTGGTCTACCTTTAGATCAGACCACTTTTTTTTTCTGTCACTGTCCGTGCAGTCCCACAGACACAGCTGACAGCATCAGCAGCGCTGATGTGTTGCCACTTTTTTTCTCTTTCTTTTATTAGTGATCCTGCTGCTGTGGCCGCCAAATAAAATCTTTCTTCAGTCCTCCACCTCCCGTTAAAGGGTCTCTAGCTCAGTCTCGGAGAAATTCCGTTTTTTGGTTCGTTTCTCACCCGTCGCCTTGACTCACACAACACTCGCATGCCGGCTTATTTATATGCAGATCGCATTCATGAGGTGATTTGCATGACCATTTATGCTTGAACTAGGGCTTGTAGAGGGCGGAATATGAGGCGGATCTGGGTGCGCACAACTCCAGGAGGTCTGTGATTTATAAAGAGAACATTGCGTGTAAGTGTGCGTGCGCACGGTTTTATAAATCAGATTATTTTTTGGCGCATGCCATTTTCAGCTTTTGGGCGCACGTCAACTTTTAGTATGAATCCTAAGCACTCTTTTATAAATGAGGCCCCAGATCTGTGTGCTAGGTACCCCAACAGAGGGGGGACCAAAAATGGGGACAGTACGGAACGGTTCCATTGGTACCATCCACAACTTTTCGGGTCCATGTCATTGGTCCGACAGCCCATTGGTCCGACATCCCATTAGTCCGACGTCCCGTTGTTCTGATATGTGATTATACTAGGCTATACTGTATTTGTGTACCATAGAGGATCAGCAAACACAACAAAAGTAGGCTACTGGTCGAGATACAAGTGCCATAGAGAGGAGAGAGTGAAACACCATAACCTCCTGTTATTAACTCTGGGGTTGGGGTTGTGTGGGGAGCTCTCCGCGGTGCTGAACGGCTCCCGGCGGACGTATTTCTGCCTTGATGGTGCGCTGCAACGAGCTCTGGGTCAGCTGGGAAAGGCTTGAGCTTATATGTTTGCCACTTTCTTTTTCATTTTAACCCACACCATGATCTTTTCCTGACCCTAACCAAGTGGTTTTTGTGCCTAAACATAACCAGACCTTAACCACAGGGCATCATGACGATTTCGGAACAACGGGACTTCGGAACAATGGGTTCAATATGGTCGGAACAATGGGATGTCGGACCAATGGGCAGTTCCCCAACTTTTCACAGTGGAAATGGAAAAAAGTGTACCGAACTGAACCATACCATACCGTAACTTACTCCTCGTTGGCTTAAAAGATTTTGCAAAGACTGAGGATCTTGCAGGGTCACTATTTGCAAGAATATGAATGAACCATGAGAGGTGAACCATTTCAAAGATTTCTCACTAAAGTAAGTGCTGCCAGGTGGATCAGATACATGATCAGAAACATTCCACAATAACAAGCACTCCACCAGTTTCTCCTCATTTTTCACGGTCCAAGAGACCTGAGACTTGTTCACATTCTTGCGCCTCCCCAGAGTCCCTTTGTGTTTACAGTGTACCCTGTTTGCTGCTTCCTGTTTGGTGCCAGAGAGAACGCAGCTATTGGTTCCCAACAATGTTAACATCATGGGACTTCACTATTTGCATGAGTCAACACTAAAAACTTTTATCGGTACATCAAGACAAAAAAAGACAGCTCAGACTGAGTTTTATGACCACCTTACACCATATGATCAAGAAAACTATCGAGCTCATGGGAGCGTGCACCAACTGAGGTCAATGTGTAAATGTGCCTGTGAGAGTGAAATGGATTGAAAAGTTGTTTGGTGTTAAGCCAGCGTCAGTCGCATGAAACAAGACATAAAAAGACACAACTTTTGGCTGTCAAGAATTTTTCATTTTCTGATTTCCTATCCAAAGCTAACAAGACTTGTTTATTTCTACACACAGAACAAGAGAAGGATCCCAAATTTTGGAATGTGTGGGCACAGCAGACCCTGAAGAACGCTCTCACGCTCCAAGCTCTCAACACCAACAAAGCAAAGAATATCATCCTCTTCCTTGGAGATGGTGAGCCACAAAGTCGTTCTTTTGTTTCATCACTGCAATCCAAACTTTGCACTGGTTCAATTCTTTAGGGAAGTGGCAGACTTCCATTTCTGACATCAAGATTGTACCTTGTCAAAGGGAACAACTTACCATTAAACAGGAGAGTCCTAAAGCCAATGTCGCCATTTGGGAATGAAAATGACAAGTCAGACACACAGCACACACAAATACCAACACTCCCCTCTCTCCCTCTGTAGACTGTTGGCTAGCCATCATTAGCTTAAACAAGCTAACCATGTTGGCTAGCGATCATAAGCTTAAACAAGCTAATGATGTTGGCAATAAGGGCTACAGACCCTGGAGTTTCCCGATGGCATCCAGTTCTTCAGTCTGACCGCTGCGATCCACGCTTTGCGCTAATTTGTTTCTTTTGAGAAACGGTAGACATTTATTTCAGACATCAAGTTTGTACCTTGTTGAAGTTAAGAACCTACTATTAAGAGGCAAAGTCCTAAAACTAATTTCGTAATTTTCTACAGTGTGTATTTCAGGTCAGGGGGAATAAAGTTTAGCGTTTCATAGCTATTATGTTTTCTCGCAGTAGTGGCTGGACCAGAAGTCTCACAAGTGGAACAACGATGTTGTTCCTTAGCAACCAAAAGACGCCATGAAAGGGTCCATAGTAGAAATTATGTTGGGTCATCAGTGCTAGTTCTGTTAGCTTAAATAGGCGATTTCAGTGCATAGATGGGCAGTTTAATGTAGAGGTGAGATGAAAAAGCCAACAAAAAAGTGCTGTAACGTTGAGGAGAAAAGGAGGTTTCCGAAAAATTTGATTTACTCTTACTTTATCGGACCTCGGGGGACAGACAAAGTGATCTGCAAACAGGTGAATTCAATGCTCAATAATGTTAAATAACATGATGAGATCAAACACAAATCCGACGACAAGTACATGGATAAAGAGTTAAAACAGAAGGTTGAACAGTTTCAATAAGGCTTTTCAAACCGACGGTTGGGTTTTGCAAATCTTGTGAAAACTCTTGCAGGTGTAGGCAAGCTATGTGGTAACTCAGGATATTATTAAACATAGTGAGCAGTTACGTGATGGAGAGTTTGGTGAAACTGGCCAACATCGCCTGTCCTGAGTCGGCCCTCAGTGATATGCTGGCTCCTTAACTTGGCACTCACTCATCAAAACTTTGCCTGCTATAGAGGATCCAGTAATCCAGCTGATAATGAATGAGATTTTTCAAATGTTTTCTAACACGCGAGGTGAATGAACAGTACAGTAGCAAACAAAACACCCATGCTGGCACCAGATCACTGGGATTCTGTCTGTGCTGGGCCGCTCATTGGTCACACAATAACTTTTATCCTCCATCTGGCCTCTGCTCTCTCTGTTTGGACTATAGGCATTCTTGCGTCCTGCTGCAAGCACAGTCATGTTTGCGCAATTAGAGAATAACAGGCACCATCTTGCAACACTGGTAAGACGCAACAGGATGTGATTGTCCAACTGGAAAAAACGTTTCCCAGACGTTGTTCACCTTTTACCAGGAAAAATCACAGGACTCAGCTTAAGAAACAAGACTCAGCTGCACAATGACCTGTTTCCTGTGTGTACCTCTGAGCAGACTTTGATTATGCGGGGGGGCTTCAACCTTATTGTAAATCATCCAACTGGACCTGAGGCACATGCAATTTGTTTTTCATCCTGTGTCTAATACAAGGAAGGTGAGGAAAGATAAGAATAGCAGTTACAGAAGACTATATTTAACATTTTCTGATATTTTCCTGTGAATAATTTCAGGCAAACAACAAAAAGTCTTGGGAATTTAGCATTCTCCGTGATACAGATTAACTAGAGTTGAGTCTCACTGTGAGCTCGAAAGTATCTGTTTTGTTTATCTTTGTTTTTCCATCATTTTTGAAAGAGGTATCTGCTATTTAAGTAATTTATATCTTAAAAAAATGTTTTGCCTAACAGCAGCCATCGTGTTCTGAAATGTCAAAGAAAGCAACAACCTTTCATGTACTGCATGCTGAGCGCAGCAGGGGGATGAAGTGTTAATGTCTCTCATGTGCACTCGCTCTCTTTCCCGCCCTGAAGGAAAGTCTAATGCAATCTAACGGTCGACCTGCTTTTGGTGTTTAGGGATGGGCGTTCCCACGGTGACAGCTGCTCGAATACTGAAGGGTCAGCTGAACGGACAGAGCGGTGAGGAGACGCAGCTGGAGATGGACAAGTTCCCTTTTGTGTCTTTGGCCAAGGTCTGACTCGGTTATTATGTACATTATGTGTATTGATCTTGCTGTTGCCAGTAATGGCTTCCTGACAAGGCCTCTGACCGTAAACAAGGTCATTTAGTGTGTCACGTCACATAGGCTGTGTTATGTTACAGATTTGATTTAAAAAAAGATGGCCAGAAATCATAAAGTAGTTTGATTTTTTTATGAGTCCTCAGCAGCTATGGCCTCATATGAACCTGCAAAACTGTAAATCTGGTGATATTCTATATTTTTCTTATAGCCAAGGAATCCAATGAAAAGACCAAAACCATCAATTAAAGGTCCAGTGTGTAGGATTTAGGGGGATACATTGGGAGAAATGGAATATAATATATTAAGTATGTTTTCTTTAGTGTATAATCACCTAAAAATAAGAATTATAGTGTTTTGGTTACCTTAGAATGAGGCTTATCGGCATCGGGAGCAGGTCCTCGTTTACAGAGACAGCCATGTTGCACCACCATGTTACTACAGTAGACCAGAAAGGACAAACCAGACACTCACTTTAGATAGGGTCATTTGCGTTCTCGCATCTGCCAACGTAGTAGCAGCGCCTCTGCAAAGAAAGCATAGAAGAAAACACCAATTTCTTTATGCTAGTCAGTGTTTCCACTGGTTTAAGGGTGCTTTGATGCTCAAATCTCTGGATCTGCTTGTTTTGGAGAGAAAGACACCTCTGCTGATTATTCGTCTCCTGGTAAAAACCTCCTGAACAATGAACACTGAAGGAATTCTAACGGGTTTCAGTTGGTTGCAATCTGCAGTCCTCACTGCCAGATGCCACTGCATGCTTCTATATCTTGCACACTGGACCTTTAACTGCTGCTATAGACCTCCATTGTTGTCCAAAAACTATTAAAAACACATTAATGACCTATTACTACTACAACTATTGCACTTTACTTTAGCATATGTGGTGTCCTTGAAGAGATCTAAAATTAAAAAAACAATTCCTTATTTCTGTTAACTACAGACTACATGTATTTATTAATTAAAAAGGTAGCATTCAATTAGTCATTTCAGGTTACAATTACAAGTGCAGAGTAATGCTTCCTCTGTTAATACTCTGGTAAACCAATCTGGCCTCTTACATAAACTGACAACTTTCTAGAATACTACGGTTGACAAATCAAATCTAATTGTATTATCCAGAGAAAGACAGGGGTTTGGAGATTTGCATAAAGAGAAAAAGTTGGACAACCTACAAATGATCTCACTGTACGAACACTGTGCGGAACAGCTCATACAAAAGCAAGTGTTGAAAGATGTGAAAAGGCCTAATTAATGAAGGTACCTGCTGTGTGAAAAATTACGCACTGTGCATCTAAAACTGGAGACTGCAGATACACATACAGTACAGCCCACAGGGTTCTGCTGCTGATGACTAACGGTATTTAATTGGAAAATAATTTTTACACATTCTACGAATAGCCTGAAAATGCAGTGTTAATAGGAATCAGTCAAATTCCACTTTTTTCTGATTTTGAGGTCCTTTGTATAAGTCTGATTCTGCGCCTCAGCCAACAGTCTGAACAGTCAGAAAGGCAAGTAAACAGAATCCCGAGACAACGTAACTGTCCTGCTGTCTGCAACTAATGATTAGTTTTAATAAGTGACTGATAGTTTAGTCTGTAAAACAGAAGAAGATAGTAGAAATGCCATTTCAGTTTCCCATAGCCTAAGGGGACGTCCATAAAATGCTTGTTTTGTCTGACAAATCGTCTAAAAATAGTCCCCAAAAAATTCATGTTTCCTCCTGTTTGAGTAATCGTAGCTTTAAACTAGTGGAGGAAAAATGTCAAGCCGTAGTTGGAAACTTGTATGACAAAACTTTTTACTTTATTTACTTTAATTTCAGAGATAAGAAACANTGTTTGCCACTTTCTTTTTCATTTTAACCCACACCATGATCTTTTCCTGACCCTAACCAAGTGGTTTTTGTGCCTAAACATAACCAGACCTTAACCACAGGGCATCATGACGATTTCGGAACAACGGGACTTCGGAACAATGGGTTCAATATGGTCGGAACAATGGGATGTCGGACCAATGGGCAGTTCCCCAACTTTTCACAGTGGAAATGGAAAAAAGTGTACCGAACTGAACCATACCATACCGTAACTTACTCCTCGTTGGCTTAAAAGATTTTGCAAAGACTGAGGATCTTGCAGGGTCACTATTTGCAAGAATATGAATGAACCATGAGAGGTGAACCATTTCAAAGATTTCTCACTAAAGTAAGTGCTGCCAGGTGGATCAGATACATGATCAGAAACATTCCACAATAACAAGCACTCCACCAGTTTCTCCTCATTTTTCACGGTCCAAGAGACCTGAGACTTGTTCACATTCTTGCGCCTCCCCAGAGTCCCTTTGTGTTTACAGTGTACCCTGTTTGCTGCTTCCTGTTTGGTGCCAGAGAGAACGCAGCTATTGGTTCCCAACAATGTTAACATCATGGGACTTCACTATTTGCATGAGTCAACACTAAAAACTTTTATCGGTACATCAAGACAAAAAAAGACAGCTCAGACTGAGTTTTATGACCACCTTACACCATATGATCAAGAAAACTATCGAGCTCATGGGAGCGTGCACCAACTGAGGTCAATGTGTAAATGTGCCTGTGAGAGTGAAATGGATTGAAAAGTTGTTTGGTGTTAAGCCAGCGTCAGTCGCATGAAACAAGACATAAAAAGACACAACTTTTGGCTGTCAAGAATTTTTCATTTTCTGATTTCCTATCCAAAGCTAACAAGACTTGTTTATTTCTACACACAGAACAAGAGAAGGATCCCAAATTTTGGAATGTGTGGGCACAGCAGACCCTGAAGAACGCTCTCACGCTCCAAGCTCTCAACACCAACAAAGCAAAGAATATCATCCTCTTCCTTGGAGATGGTGAGCCACAAAGTCGTTCTTTTGTTTCATCACTGCAATCCAAACTTTGCACTGGTTCAATTCTTTAGGGAAGTGGCAGACTTCCATTTCTGACATCAAGATTGTACCTTGTCAAAGGGAACAACTTACCATTAAACAGGAGAGTCCTAAAGCCAATGTCGCCATTTGGGAATGAAAATGACAAGTCAGACACACAGCACACACAAATACCAACACTCCCCTCTCTCCCTCTGTAGACTGTTGGCTAGCCATCATTAGCTTAAACAAGCTAACCATGTTGGCTAGCGATCATAAGCTTAAACAAGCTAATGATGTTGGCAATAAGGGCTACAGACCCTGGAGTTTCCCGATGGCATCCAGTTCTTCAGTCTGACCGCTGCGATCCACGCTTTGCGCTAATTTGTTTCTTTTGAGAAACGGTAGACATTTATTTCAGACATCAAGTTTGTACCTTGTTGAAGTTAAGAACCTACTATTAAGAGGCAAAGTCCTAAAACTAATTTCGTAATTTTCTACAGTGTGTATTTCAGGTCAGGGGGAATAAAGTTTAGCGTTTCATAGCTATTATGTTTTCTCGCAGTAGTGGCTGGACCAGAAGTCTCACAAGTGGAACAACGATGTTGTTCCTTAGCAACCAAAAGACGCCATGAAAGGGTCCATAGTAGAAATTATGTTGGGTCATCAGTGCTAGTTCTGTTAGCTTAAATAGGCGATTTCAGTGCATAGATGGGCAGTTTAATGTAGAGGTGAGATGAAAAAGCCAACAAAAAAGTGCTGTAACGTTGAGGAGAAAAGGAGGTTTCCGAAAAATTTGATTTACTCTTACTTTATCGGACCTCGGGGGACAGACAAAGTGATCTGCAAACAGGTGAATTCAATGCTCAATAATGTTAAATAACATGATGAGATCAAACACAAATCCGACGACAAGTACATGGATAAAGAGTTAAAACAGAAGGTTGAACAGTTTCAATAAGGCTTTTCAAACCGACGGTTGGGTTTTGCAAATCTTGTGAAAACTCTTGCAGGTGTAGGCAAGCTATGTGGTAACTCAGGATATTATTAAACATAGTGAGCAGTTACGTGATGGAGAGTTTGGTGAAACTGGCCAACATCGCCTGTCCTGAGTCGGCCCTCAGTGATATGCTGGCTCCTTAACTTGGCACTCACTCATCAAAACTTTGCCTGCTATAGAGGATCCAGTAATCCAGCTGATAATGAATGAGATTTTTCAAATGTTTTCTAACACGCGAGGTGAATGAACAGTACAGTAGCAAACAAAACACCCATGCTGGCACCAGATCACTGGGATTCTGTCTGTGCTGGGCCGCTCATTGGTCACACAATAACTTTTATCCTCCATCTGGCCTCTGCTCTCTCTGTTTGGACTATAGGCATTCTTGCGTCCTGCTGCAAGCACAGTCATGTTTGCGCAATTAGAGAATAACAGGCACCATCTTGCAACACTGGTAAGACGCAACAGGATGTGATTGTCCAACTGGAAAAAACGTTTCCCAGACGTTGTTCACCTTTTACCAGGAAAAATCACAGGACTCAGCTTAAGAAACAAGACTCAGCTGCACAATGACCTGTTTCCTGTGTGTACCTCTGAGCAGACTTTGATTATGCGGGGGGGCTTCAACCTTATTGTAAATCATCCAACTGGACCTGAGGCACATGCAATTTGTTTTTCATCCTGTGTCTAATACAAGGAAGGTGAGGAAAGATAAGAATAGCAGTTACAGAAGACTATATTTAACATTTTCTGATATTTTCCTGTGAATAATTTCAGGCAAACAACAAAAAGTCTTGGGAATTTAGCATTCTCCGTGATACAGATTAACTAGAGTTGAGTCTCACTGTGAGCTCGAAAGTATCTGTTTTGTTTATCTTTGTTTTTCCATCATTTTTGAAAGAGGTATCTGCTATTTAAGTAATTTATATCTTAAAAAAATGTTTTGCCTAACAGCAGCCATCGTGTTCTGAAATGTCAAAGAAAGCAACAACCTTTCATGTACTGCATGCTGAGCGCAGCAGGGGGATGAAGTGTTAATGTCTCTCATGTGCACTCGCTCTCTTTCCCGCCCTGAAGGAAAGTCTAATGCAATCTAACGGTCGACCTGCTTTTGGTGTTTAGGGATGGGCGTTCCCACGGTGACAGCTGCTCGAATACTGAAGGGTCAGCTGAACGGACAGAGCGGTGAGGAGACGCAGCTGGAGATGGACAAGTTCCCTTTTGTGTCTTTGGCCAAGGTCTGACTCGGTTATTATGTACATTATGTGTATTGATCTTGCTGTTGCCAGTAATGGCTTCCTGACAAGGCCTCTGACCGTAAACAAGGTCATTTAGTGTGTCACGTCACATAGGCTGTGTTATGTTACAGATTTGATTTAAAAAAAGATGGCCAGAAATCATAAAGTAGTTTGATTTTTTTATGAGTCCTCAGCAGCTATGGCCTCATATGAACCTGCAAAACTGTAAATCTGGTGATATTCTATATTTTTCTTATAGCCAAGGAATCCAATGAAAAGACCAAAACCATCAATTAAAGGTCCAGTGTGTAGGATTTAGGGGGATACATTGGGAGAAATGGAATATAATATATTAAGTATGTTTTCTTTAGTGTATAATCACCTAAAAATAAGAATTATAGTGTTTTGGTTACCTTAGAATGAGGCTTATCGGCATCGGGAGCAGGTCCTCGTTTACAGAGACAGCCATGTTGCACCACCATGTTACTACAGTAGACCAGAAAGGACAAACCAGACACTCACTTTAGATAGGGTCATTTGCGTTCTCGCATCTGCCAACGTAGTAGCAGCGCCTCTGCAAAGAAAGCATAGAAGAAAACACCAATTTCTTTATGCTAGTCAGTGTTTCCACTGGTTTAAGGGTGCTTTGATGCTCAAATCTCTGGATCTGCTTGTTTTGGAGAGAAAGACACCTCTGCTGATTATTCGTCTCCTGGTAAAAACCTCCTGAACAATGAACACTGAAGGAATTCTAACGGGTTTCAGTTGGTTGCAATCTGCAGTCCTCACTGCCAGATGCCACTGCATGCTTCTATATCTTGCACACTGGACCTTTAACTGCTGCTATAGACCTCCATTGTTGTCCAAAAACTATTAAAAACACATTAATGACCTATTACTACTACAACTATTGCACTTTACTTTAGCATATGTGGTGTCCTTGAAGAGATCTAAAATTAAAAAAACAATTCCTTATTTCTGTTAACTACAGACTACATGTATTTATTAATTAAAAAGGTAGCATTCAATTAGTCATTTCAGGTTACAATTACAAGTGCAGAGTAATGCTTCCTCTGTTAATACTCTGGTAAACCAATCTGGCCTCTTACATAAACTGACAACTTTCTAGAATACTACGGTTGACAAATCAAATCTAATTGTATTATCCAGAGAAAGACAGGGGTTTGGAGATTTGCATAAAGAGAAAAAGTTGGACAACCTACAAATGATCTCACTGTACGAACACTGTGCGGAACAGCTCATACAAAAGCAAGTGTTGAAAGATGTGAAAAGGCCTAATTAATGAAGGTACCTGCTGTGTGAAAAATTACGCACTGTGCATCTAAAACTGGAGACTGCAGATACACATACAGTACAGCCCACAGGGTTCTGCTGCTGATGACTAACGGTATTTAATTGGAAAATAATTTTTACACATTCTACGAATAGCCTGAAAATGCAGTGTTAATAGGAATCAGTCAAATTCCACTTTTTTCTGATTTTGAGGTCCTTTGTATAAGTCTGATTCTGCGCCTCAGCCAACAGTCTGAACAGTCAGAAAGGCAAGTAAACAGAATCCCGAGACAACGTAACTGTCCTGCTGTCTGCAACTAATGATTAGTTTTAATAAGTGACTGATAGTTTAGTCTGTAAAACAGAAGAAGATAGTAGAAATGCCATTTCAGTTTCCCATAGCCTAAGGGGACGTCCATAAAATGCTTGTTTTGTCTGACAAATCGTCTAAAAATAGTCCCCAAAAAATTCATGTTTCCTCCTGTTTGAGTAATCGTAGCTTTAAACTAGTGGAGGAAAAATGTCAAGCCGTAGTTGGAAACTTGTATGACAAAACTTTTTACTTTATTTACTTTAATTTCAGAGATAAGAAACAAACTGTGAAGACAATAAACCCCCCACAAAATAGCATTTTAAGTTGTGTGTGTAATGTATCCATGCTTCATATGAGCAGAGGAAATCTACGCTTGTTGCTAGTTTATACTATGTAAAATGCCATAGGCTTGTGCTAATAACGTTAGCATGTTGTATCTGTGGGGAAAATGTGTCCAGACAAAGACAAGTGTTTGTCTGTGAATGCTGCGAGTTATTTTGAAGCTGATTTGTGTACTTGTGTTTGAAATTGTCTCTGTTGAACCATGTTTAATGCGTGTTTAATATGTGTTTTGAATCAACTCAACTTTGGAGCACTTCACAGAAACCCCACTGCTGACTAGTGTTTTTGAGGTGTAACTGTAGAATGACACACTACGCACAAGTACAAATGCTCACAACGGCGTAAGCTCTGCATAGAGCTGATGCACAAGTATAAGTTTAAGTACATAGACTGTATATAAATGTTTTTTCTGTCCGTTTTTTGAGGATTTACATCTTCAATAGGAAATATTGGGCCTGAGGCTGAGAGCCAGAAGTAGAGAGATGAAAGGATATGAAATCATCTTTACACTAGCACACTGATGATTTGGTCTTTAATGGGATTTGTTGGTAATTAGAATAACTCTGTATCCTTTAAGTCAGCATTTTGACGTACTGCTGGTGCAGGAAAAGCACCCATGTCCAAACAAATTGCATCACACAAACACCCGATCACAAGGATATCAGAAAGTCAACAAACAATCCTGTTTGATGTTTAGATTCTGACCACATGTCACTGACCTGTCACTCTGCAGACATACAACACCAACGCTCAGGTGCCAGACAGTGCCGGCACTGCCACAGCATACCTCTGCGGGGTCAAGGCCAACGAGGGCACGGTGGGTGTGAGTGCAGCTGCTGTCCGATCCCAGTGTAACACCACAATGGGCAATGAGGTCACCTCCATCCTCAGATGGGCTAAAGACGCAGGTAGAGTGACATTAATTTAACACAGGGTCATTGTTCACGTTTTGCTGTCGATTAATATGCGTTTCATGTGCGAGGAAAGCTAACTGTGGTTGTGGTTGATTGCTGTGTTAATGGGTGGTGGGAATACTCGCTGGGGCGACTTGGTAGCTCAAAGCAATGACTTTGAAGTGCTCTCAAAAGTGATGCTCTTAATGCATGTTTTTCCACACTGCTCGTTCCCTCTTTTCAGCTGTTCATCCTTTGAACCAAAGTTATCCTTCAAGCAGTTTGTAAGTGACATTAACTTAGCCCAAAGAGTTTTCTTTAATGTATTCTGCTTTAAAATGACAAGAGACATATTTTTAAATAACAGAGTTTTGGAAAAGCTCTATCAGGCCACCCTAACTATGAAGTTTCATCTTCTTTTTTAACTTTCCAAACCCTGATGTGTCTGGATCCTTTATTATGAAGTTATGTGTGGAGTTGTTAGAACCAGTAGGCAATGTATTTTTTAACAGGGGGGACGAGCTTGTTTTCCAACATGTCGATTTTGGGTCATTTTAGAGTTTATGTTTGATTTTAAACTAACTCTTGGGTTTCAGAACATTTCAGATGATAAATATAATTCTGAAATTTAGAACTATAACTTCTGAAACTAAGTCTGAAAGTACTGTATGTCTCCCTGAACTTATGAATGAAAGGCTTATAGTAACAAAGCAGGGTCAGGACAATGGGGTTTCATCTGGTTTCAAATAAACAAAGTCTTGGCTTTTAGAACATTCAAACCTCTTGAAACCATAGCTAGGTCTAAGCTTAGCATTGCGCATCAAAATTATAATGTTAAATGTTTAAAGTTTTGTTAATATGGACATGTTGCACATCGATAGCTGAGTTGGAATCTTCACAATTCAATTGTTAAGTTCACTTTAGAGAGACACAAAAAATGCTGGTTCAGAATTGAGCGCAGAATCAAAAGGTTTTTTCATAAAAAGTTGTGAATATTGTCATGTGAAGTCCATCGCTAACGATGTATGCTAACATATTTTCTCATCTACCTGTGCCATGTTGTTTAGAAGTGTGTCGTATCATATTGTTCACAATAATACCAGTATAATTTTTAATGTGATAGGAAAAATTGAAATTGGGATATTTCAACTTGTTGACATATTGACGGCAACAACAAGCATGGCTGAAAGCAAAATTATTACAGACTCTGTGATGGTTCTAAAAAGAGGAGCAGCTTCAGTAGTGTGGAATAAACTGTGGTGTCCTGTTTTATGAACAGCCCAGAACTTCTCAGACTCTTTTAGCGAGTTACCGCTCAGGGGGAACTCATTCAGCGGCTCCTCTGGCAGCAGCACAGCATCTCTCCCTCTCCTCTCTTGCTGTGTGCACACAGGAGTCGGTGTCGTCAAGTGATTTTGTCATAAACCTTTGGTCATGTGAACCCACGTGATGCTCGCGGCTCGACAAAAAACAGGTTACAGTGTGATGAAACTGTCAGGTTGACATGTAAAACTATTTCACGCATTTAGTTGCAATTCTATGTTCTGAAATTAAGGAATATTATAATTAATAAAATATTTTTCGTACTAATGTGATCATATTGTCAAGAATATCGTTATCCCAAAAATACCCTGAAATATTGTGATATTATTTTAGGGCCATATCGCCCACCCCTAGTGTCACTGAGTATGTTTACATACATCCCAGTTTAGAACGCCAATAGGCTCTGTCATGTATATTTGTGGCCACCTTACTGCAAATTCTGAAGGCCTTCTTTTTGAAGTCATGGCTCGGTGACAGTGATTATATAATCTAAGGTATGTTAGTTACTATTTGGAGTACAAAAACAACACTGGTATCATAACAATATCCCCCCTTGCCTGCCCTAAAATTGCCTGCTGGTTAGTACTTACGAGACTCTTTACACATGGGCTTCAATCTCAATAATCAGTTTGATGCTGCATCAGTAAAGACAAAACACAACACAGAGTAAAATCCCATGTAAACAGTTTTGATCAGAAGCCTGAAAGATTTCCATCTTTGCAAAATACACTAAGGAATGACGTGATAATTTTAAGCCTTCAAGGAGACATCACGGCGTAATGCAATCTGCTTTAAAACCTTGCACCATAAAGAAGGAAAGGACTGAGCACCAGGGATTCTCAGAGGGCGGTGGTGGGAATAAGTTAGGAGTGGGTGGGTGAGGGTCAGGGTCTGTGTGGGTTCAGGGGTCACAGATAATAAGAAATCCAATAATTCCTGAGGGAACACGGCGGGCAGCTGCCGACCTCCTGCACGGAGCAAATAGAAATGTGAGACATGTTTATCATCAGGTCGTTTTACAGGACTGTGCTCTGCTGGGTTTTCCTTTAACGCTTCACTTTTAAGATCCAGAAGATTTATTAGCAGGAAGTACTGGTCCATCCATTAATCACTGCTGGACACTGCTGCTAAAAATTGCTGTTCAGACTAGGTTTGAGCAGTATCAACATTTTCTTGTGGGGACCTTGACAACACGATAAAGCTGCAATGTGCAATTTAATTTATGTTGATATTTGATGATAAAATATTTCTGTGACAGAACATTTGTACAATCCAGTGCACTTTAATTTTAACAGATTTACAGTTCTTTTCACATGATTAAAGGAAAGGTTTGGACCATTATACACATTCACACAGCGATGTGTACATTTAAACAGATGTTGGTTGCTGCAACATGAGCTGAGGTGATTTCCTTCTGTAAGAGATGCAGCACAAAAACTGCACTCCTTGTTCGATGCAACAATGCATTTCAACCCCAGCTAATGAAGCTCCAGCACTCTGCGTACTTTCCAAAGTTACAGTCATTTAAGTCGAAAATTCTGCCTGCCTTACTATCCTTCCACTGCAGCTCAACAAGTAGACACTGTCCAGGGAGACACAATGAGGGAATTCATCTAGGTCTGAACATGTTCTTCAGAAAATTACTCAGACCGTTGCCTGTGTGTGTATGTGTGTGTATGTGTGTGTCCACTGCAGGCAAGTCAGTGGGAATAGTGACGACGACCCGTGTTAACCATGCAACTCCCAGTGCTGCTTATGCCCACAGCGTGGACAGAGACTGGTACTCCGATAATGAGATGCCAGCTGAGGCTCTGAGGGACGGCTGCAAGGATATCGCCAGACAGCTCTTTGAAAACATTCCCAACATTGATGTGAGTCACAACAAGAAATAATTCTGATACACAACGTATTATAAAGTGTCACTAAAAAACCTCAAGAGTAGTATGTGATTTTAGATAATGTGGGGTGTTCTGAAAACGAGGCAACAGACACTTTGTTGAACATTTTGTTCACTTCAGAGTGCCAACACTGGACTAATTGAATGGTGTAACTTGTTTTTGGAATTAAACATTGCATTAAAAAACAAACATTCAAATCTGGCTAATTCACTGTGCAGTAACAGTTACTTCTGCACTGTGTGAGAGCTGGTCCTCTGGCAAAGTTTACATTCTAGCATCCTCAGCCAAACTCGTGTTATCTGAGTTAGTATTTAAAATATCAACAATAAAGCATGACTCTGACCAAGTATGTAAGCATTTTCCTTATTATACGAAAAGGAACAGTTCATCCCTATATCAAAAGTACCTATTTTTCCTCTTACCCGTAGTGCTATTTTTCAGTCTAGATTGTTTTGGTGTGAGTTGCCGAGTGTTGGAGATATCGGCCGTAGAGATGTCTGCCTTCTCTCCAATATAATGGAACTAGATGTCACTCAGCTTGTGGTGCTCAGAGCACCAAAAACTACATTTGAAAAACTCAACAGCAATGTCTCTCTCCAGAAATCATGACCTGGTAACTCAAGAAAATCCACAGACCTTGTTGTGAGCAGTTTCATGTAGGAACTATTTTCTTTCTTATGAACCACCTGCGGCCAAATTGCTGCGCAGAGGATAGCGTGCAACTACTGCTAGCTCACCTAGCACCACTAAGCTAGCTAACGTTACAGCTCAGCTGAGGAAGACAACATTAATGTTCACATCTCATGCTATCACAAGCACGAACCTCTCATCCATGAGTAGATGCACACTTCCTTCTGTGCTGTTATTCGGTTGGCGGGTGTAGTTTACGAGAAAGAAAATAGTTCCTAAATGAAACTGCTCACAACAAAGTCTGTGGATTATCTTGAGTAACCAGGTCATGATTTAAAAAGAGACACTGATGTTGAGTTTCTAAATGTTATTTTTTGGTACTTTGAGCACCACAAGCTGAGACCCATCTGGTTCCACTATATTTGAGAGAAGGCAGACATCTTTACGGCTGATATCTCCAACATTCTGCAACTCACACCAAAATAATCTAGACTGATGAATAGCACTACAGATAAGAGGAAAAATATGTATTTTTAATTTTTAGGAGAACGATCCCTTTAAAATACTCGAACTAACAAGCTGCAACACAGGAACAATTCCGCTTCTTTATTTTCATGTCTTCTCCTGATCATTAGCTGCAGAGGATGCTGACCTTTTTCCTGGGATACGTAGCTTTAGCTTCAGGCTTTTAGCATAATATTATGTATGTCACCATCAAGCGTATATTTAAGACTCATTTTATAGAGTTCTTGCTTTTAAACAAATCAGCTAGAAACTTTAAAATTTTAGCCGATAACCTGTTTTCAACCAACTCGTTAACCTTACTTAAGCTTAGCTAGCTACAGCTGATGAAATCTGCTAGTTACTGTTGTCATTTCAACCAAAAGAATCGTCCGCCTCTGGCTGGAAATTAGAAGTCTGCTTTTGTCTAACAGTGTCTGAAATTGAAGACCCATTGTTTCGGAAAAAACTTTGAGTTGAACACATGATATTATTGTACACTACATATGTGCACTTTACAGGGGTAGCAACAGTAACTAAAGGAAATGGGGCTTTGCTAACGGTCAGTTGTTTCTTTGTCAATTCCCAGCCATTTGGTCCTAAAACAGTTATAACTAAGATTGTTTGTATTCTGTTTGTGCAACTTTCCAGGTGATCCTTGGCGGAGGGAGGAAATATATGTTCCCCAAAAACACGTCGGATGTAGAGTACCCCAGCATCGCGAAGCACAGCGGCACAAGAAAAGACGGGAGAAACCTGGTGCAGGAGTGGACTGACAAAATGAAGGATAAAGTAAATTTCTCCTCCTCTTCCCGCTCTTTGCTCCCTCTCATTTCTCTGCTCTCTCTTTTATCTTCCCAATTACATTTCCATATTTAGGAGTTCAAAGTGACTGCAGTGTTAACCACTCACACTGTTGTGGCTGTACATTTGTGTCTTTGTGCAGAAAGGCCATTATGTATGGAACAAGAAGCAGCTCTTATCACTGAACCCTAACAACGTGGATTACGTATTGGGTGAGTTTCCAGTCTCGGCGTCATTATAAAACTTGGAAGTTTTCCATTGAAGTGTAAATGAAGAGCCACATGTGTATGCATTTGCTGTAGGCTTATTTTCTTGCGTGTAATAACCTATTTCTCCTTGAAACGGGCCTTCTGTTATTCCAGGTCTGTTTGAACCTGCTGACCTGACATATGACTTGGAGAGGAACACTGAGACTGATCCCTCGCTGACAGAGATGGTGGATGTGGCCATCAAGATCCTACAGAAGAACCCCAGTGGATTTTACCTGCTTGTAGAGGGTGAGTTTGTGGTGAAATTGGACTGTCAACTTTAGTTTAACTTTAAGATCTGGCTGGCTGGTCTACCGACTTAGTTAAGTTGTAGTGTCTGTCTGAGACATTGCAGATTTCAATAGTGAATGTCCCTTGAGTCAAGGAGGCCTTATATTGCCTCATTTCCACTACATGGTACGGCTAGACTCAAGTCAACTCACTTTTGGGACCAGGTCCTTTTCTCTATTTTGTTTTCCACGGCTGATTGTACCCCCTCAGTGTAGGTGGGATTCTTAGCAGAACACCATATCGGTGCAACATGAAACTACTGTGACATCAACTTCAATGCGACACTCACTGAATCTTTTCATCGGCAACCAAACAGAGGAATATCTGCACTTTGGCATACATAGTGTACCGCATAGTTTTGCTTGCTGCCATTTTTAAAAAATCTGGGTCAAGTGAATGAAAAAATTGTGGCTGCTATTGACATCAGCTTGGCTTTAAAGGAGTAGTGTGGAGCATCTTGCGGAGAGGACTGCAGATTGCAGCCAGCCTCAACTTCTCCCAGTTAGAATTCCTTCAGTTTTCATTGTTCAGGAGCATTTTACTGGGAGCCAAATTATCCACAGAGGTCAGAACTTCTCCAAAATAAAAGGAGCCGGTGATTTAAACCAGTGGTTCCCAACTGGTCCAGCCCTGGGGTCCAGATTTCGCCTTAGTCATTAGTTCAAGGTCCACACAGTTTAACATATTCAGCGTCAAATTTGAATTTGGCCATGTCGTTGAGCTACTTTGCTGTCTCTGTCAAGTAGCTGCTCGTTAGTCAGTCATTCTACAGCAGGAAACAGCACTTCAAATTAAAAGCTCTGTGCTAGAGATTCACTATACTTAAAAACAAAGTGTGTTTCTTACAAACTTGACACGTTCACGAGTCAGATTCAGAATGGACCCCGACCCACCAGTTGGGAACCACTGATTGAAACTGGTAACACCCAATAAGGTAGTTTCACTTTAAAAAGTCAGTGTTTTTCTGATGCTGTCATCACAGAGGGGCTGGGAACTACGGTGGCGGATACAAAGACACAACCGGCCCTATCTTGAACCGGCTTGACCATTCCTCAGCTATTATAGAAACATGACAGTGCAACATGATGAACTCCATGGTCGAGGACATGCTCCCTATGTAGATACAAGCAGCTCTTTCTAAGCTAACAAAAACATGATTTTCAGGTGATTATACACTAAAGAAAACATAATATTCCATTTCTGCCCCATAATCCTTCACACCAAACCTTTAATAATGGCAGGTTTATACAGGATGTCTTGCATCGCGTAATGCCGATGACTCTCTGCCCTGGGCGCCTCATGTTAGAAATGTTTCAGGCATGTCCAACTGATAGGAGGACCCAGGGCAGACCCAGGACACGCTGGAGGGATTACATAACTCATCTGGCCTGGGAACGCTTTAGGGTCATCTAGGGGGAGCAGGAAAGTGTTGCTGGTGAGAGGGACATCTGGGGGCTTTGCTTGGTCTGCTGCCCCAGCGACCCGACCCCGGATAAGCAGATGAAAATGGATGGATAGATGGATAGTGTTTTAACTCCAACTTCTAGTATGGTTTCAGCTTGCTTGGAACCTTGAGTGAGGTGGTAACAAAAAAACCTAGTAGGCTTTGTGCACAACCGATAATACATAAAAAGAGCGAGCTGATATGAGCAGAGCTGTGCCATACCATGTACTGGAAATGCAGCATAACACAGTTGCTACCCAACTTTGTTATCAGGATTATTAAAGAAATAGTTAAACATTTTGGAAGAGACACTTGTTTGCTTTCTTTTTGAAGCTGAGATGAAAAGATGGAGACAAACTGCATGTATGTGTGTGAGAAGAGGATGTTAATTAGCGAGCTTTAGAGGTGTTAGTGGGGTTTTTTTTATCTGCTTTTCACTTTTGTTCCACACAAATAATTCAATCAATGACATTTGCTGACTCACAAGAATGTTGAAGGAAAGCAAAATGTTGTGGATCATGAAAAACAGAGACAAGGTAAAGTGTTTTAAGAGACAGTATGAGCCCTTTGTGGTTCACTTATCATTAAATTTTCCTAATGAAACGTCCTTTAAAACCTTCAAATAACTTTAACAACAGGCAAGTTTTCAGCTGAACATGCACTCCTTCAAAACATGCACCACATGTTTTACTAGTTTTATATGTTGGCATCATGTTTGAAAAAGGACCTGCAATCTTATTTTTTCCTCCATAAAAGTTACTCTAGCAGCCAACTTACTTGGGATCTAGTCATGTTTTTAAGAAAATTATCCAACTTCTCTAAAAGATGTATACGTTTCTTATTTTTATAGATTTCTGAAAAGGGGGTTAAACAGCTTAAGTCTGTTTGTGAAATCCAAGTCAAAGTCTTCCACTGTGAAACTGTATTCAGTTCTTGTGCACAATTTGCCTCAGAGGGCTTAACAGCTTACGACATTCCTTATGACATCCCTCTGTCCTTGGACCCTCACAGCAGATAAGGAAAAACTCCCCCCAAAAAACCCATCAATGGAAAAAAGAAATGGTAGAAACCTAATGAAGAGTGACTGAGGGGGATCACACATTAACAGTATTAACATGTATAAGTGACACTGGGTAGAAGCAGCAGGGTGGCGTATGGTTATTAAGATTGTCCCTCAGCCAGAGGGCCTGGCTCTCTCTTACACTGGCTAACAGACTGTTATGAGTGACAGATTCTAATATTTAATTTTAATAAAACATTAGTGATAACAGTTCATTTAAAAGCTGTTTTTTCCAATCTTCTACCTTGCTGCCAGTTTCACTTAATTCAAGGGACTTCAGGGGAAACATAGCAACATATTGTGCAGCAGTTAATAAAATACAACCAGAAACATATCCAGTAATGTTCAGTGACATTTATATGGAATAGGTACAGATAAAGCAGTCAAGGACTAGTGGTGGAAGATGTATTCAGATTGTATAATTAAAGGTAAAGTGTGTAGGATTTAAAGGCATCTGTTGGCAGTAATTGTACATGATATTCATAACTATGTGTTCTTCGGTTTATAATCGCCTGAAAAAAAAGAACTGTTGTGTTTTTGGCAGCACGGTAGTGCAGTGGTTAGCATTGCTGTTAACCACTATTGGTCGTATGCTAATGGTGTGAATGTGAGCGTAAATGGCTGTCTGTCTCTGAAGCCCCGTTTCCAACAACATTTTCAGTCTGGTACCTCTGGAACCAAAAGTAACCCCTCAGACATGGTACCTAGACCCTAGGTCTGTTAGCGTTTCCACTACAAACAGTACTCTTAAATGTGGGTGGGGTTGATGTCACTCACTGCACCGTCCAGCACTCACTGTATTTCCTCATTACCGGTGACACAGATTGAAGTCTGCACCCAAATTGCGTATTTTTTCTCAGACTATAGCTGCTACAAGAGGCAGCAAAACATCCTTTATATTTAAAATTACAGTTTACTAATAATATATGTAAAACTCTCCACAGTATGTACAGTGGTTATATGAGCCTTAAAACCAGCCACAACTCTGGAGAATGGAGAATGGTGCCATTGGTACCATCCACACATCTTTTAGGAAGGATTCAGAGGCAGGGACATCAGTGATATATAAAACAGCATTTATCAACCATGAAAACTGAGAAATGTTTATTATTCAAAGGAATGTGTTGCTGAGATTCAAGGCAGCTTATGTCAGAGAAGAGAAACCCTGAGCCGTTCACACAGACATCCTGTATTGGTCTGGTCTTATCATCATCACTGACATTGGAACAAGTACTGAGAATTCTGTGAATGCCCAATGTCAACACAATATTAGATAAAGTGAGGCACATGAAGGTTGTGGTGTTGATAACTCGGTGTCCTTGTTAAAACACCCGCAAGTATGACAGTGATTGTTCAGCCAGACTGAGCGAGAATGAAAGGGGTCAGTAAGTTTCAAACAGAGTGTTTGTCGGATCATTGAACACTGTCTGACAGAAGGTGAAAGAAGGCTCCCGTCCGCATTTTTGACGGCAGAATTGTGGGGCCTCTCTCCAACAATCTGACAAGCATGCCCCGTTCAGGTAGCCACCAGTCAGATTTATGGTTGGCAGGGTTTGATCTTTCCTCTCAAGCTGTCTTTTTCGTCTTCGCACAAATATTTGGGCACTTTTCATGTGTACAACAAGCGCAACACCATTATGACCTTTACGGAAAGACTGAGTGTGGTCGAAAAAGCTTCAGACATAACAAGAAATACATGAAGGGTTAACGCAGAAACACAGGATTAGAAATGTCACTGTCTTACAGAGTCTAACAGCTAACTGTAAATATCCGCCCCTCTTTCAGGAGGACGTATTGATCACGGACACCATGAAGGCAAGGCCAAGCAGGCTCTGCATGAAGCTGTCGAAATGGACAGAGCCATCGGCCGGGCAGGTCTTCTGACCAGCGCCCACGATACAATGACTGTAGTCACTGCTGATCATTCTCACGTGTTCAACTTCGGAGGCTACACAGGCAGAGGAAACACAATATTTGGTATGTAATTGGTATGATAATAATGCACATCCGTTAATGATGCTGTATATATTGTTGTTGTAAGCTAATTTTTCAGTCTGGTTCTGCTGTGATGACGGGGTTAAATGCATCCACAGGTCTGGCTCCAATGCTGAGTGATGTTGACCAGAAACCTTTCACCTCCATCATATATGGGAACGGACCAGGTTACAAAGTCATTAACGGCGAGAGAGAGAATATCACCACTGTTAACTACCGTAAGTAAAATTAATAAAGAAAGATGAACTTCTTCGACTTCTTAAACAAGAAGCATCTGCATGTTTTCACTGTAAATTGTGTATTTTTATTATTTCCAAAAATAAACCTCAGACACTGTGATATCACAAGCTATTGTAGTCATACAAGGATAAAACTGTTGGAGACGTGGAGTCATTTCTCCACCTAAAGGCCCTGCTACAGACAATAACACAGTTTTATTAAAGAGCATGATTTAGTACAGGACATTGCTCTGCCTCGACACAAAATGATTTGCAGGAGTAACTAAGTAATCTCAGATTATCAGATTAATGCTGCCGAACTAAAATCAGAGCTCCAAAAACAGTGCCCTGTGGAGTTTTCTTGTAATAAATCCAAATTCTTGTAATAAATCCAATTGTCTACATCCGAGCAAGCCGTAGCCATAGAGAGTCAACACTGGGGAGCATCTTCTGGGGGGGGTCTGTCTACTGTACAAATGTGCAATAAATGAAGGCTGCTAATGTCTACTTATATTACACATGCAGCGCAACATAAATGATCGAAACTTAACTCAGACTTCATATAACATAATAAAGACATTAAAGTCCGAGTATACAGTATCCCTAAACGCAGAACACGTGCTGTGCGTAGGGCCTCATCTTCCATGGGGGGCCACACTTTGCGCGAGGGGATGCATTTGCACTTTTGCGCAATGGATGCGCACATGCGCTACCGTGAGGCGCGCGTAGAATCAGCTCGAGAAAGGAGAGAAGAGACCTGACCGCCCATGCGTCGCTGCAATGATTGACAGCACTCGACATCTGAACAATCAGAGGTGTGCGCCGGCAGGCACTTGCAGAGCTGCAGCAGGTGAAGAGTTGTCAACATGTCGTCCAAAAGAGCCTCAGGAGTATGCGTGGGGACGGGAGGGCAGGCGGGCTCCACGGAGGGGGAGACCCGTGCGGGGCCGGAAGGTCGGACGCTCCCAGAGAGGGGAGAGGGAGAAATATAGCTAAATAAGATGAAAATAGAAAAGAATGTCTGTATTTTATTTCTGTTTTCAGTGTTTAATTAAGGTGGGAGAGGCGGAGGGCTGAGGGAGAACGGACGCTCCCAGAGAGGGGAGAGGGAGAAATATAGCTAAATAAGATGAAAATAGAAAAGAATGTCTGTATTTTATTTCTGTTTTCAGTGTTTAATTAAGGTGGGAGAGGCGGAGGGCTGAGGGAGATTGGACGCCTCCAGAGAGGGGAGAGGGAGAAATATAACAAAATAAGATTAAATAGGAAAAACCTGTCTCCCTCTTTTATTTTATTTTCAGTGTTTAATCAAGGGTGGGGGATTGAAGTGGTGGAAGTTACTTTCTTTTGATGAGTAATTGATGGCTATTTGTGACTCAGATTTGTTTATTTATTTATTTCAGTTTGAATTTTTTATTTTATTTGACTCATACAGCCAATAAAGGTTGTCAAGTTAAATGGCTTAAAAGTTGTTGTACGGTCATTTTGTACCTATGATACATTTGGGATGGGGACCTCCAAATAAAATTTCGCTTAGGGCCCCAATTTGGTCAGGGGCAGCCCTGCGAGTATAGGACAATCAGTAATGTCAGAAAATGCCAAAAGACTGTGAACTATGTAGCACTGCATGGTGGAGTTAGACCGCCGAACTCTTCTTCATCATTTTTGTGTCCTGGATTTTTTGGGTGGGCCTGAAATCATGGCTTGATATATGCTAACATTAACTGCTGAATTAGAGGCTGTCACTGCATAGCACTCTCTCGTTCTATGGTTCAAGGGTGTGTGCTGTGCTATTAAAAACTGTGTATGGACACAGCCACTAATAAGATTCTGTCACTGTGTAGCCACTTGTTCTTCAGCTCTGGGGTCTGGGTTAGCTGCTAACAAGAGTCTTAGATGCACTGTGGCTCATTCTTCTGCTGGGGGTGTGTGTGTGCATTGTGCTACTGTGTTAGCTGCTAAAGAGAGGCTGTTGCTTTGCAGCAGTGCTTTCTTCAGCTCGAGGGGTTGTATGTTTTGTGCTACTGCTGATGGGATTCTTTAGCTGCGTGGTGGCTTGTTTTCTGGCTCTGGGTCGTGTGTGTTACCGTGCTACTGGGTTAGCTTCTAACAAGAGTCATTAGATGCGCTGCAGCTTGTTCTTCGGCTGCAGATGTGCAAGCTTTTTGCTACCAAGTTAGCTGCTAAAGAGAGGTTGTTGCTTCACAGCATCACTGTCTTTTGTGCTATTGGTTTAGTTGCTGACAAGAGTGTGTAGCTGCACGGTGGCTTGTTCCTTGGCGTGGGGCTTGTGTACGTCAACATGCTACTGGATTAGCTGCCAACAACAGTCTAGGTTGGGTGGCGGCTTGTTCTTTGGCTTGGGGGAGGTGAGTTTGCCTAGTGCTACCGGGTTAACTACTAACGAGAGCCTTTAGGTCAAGGCAGGTTATTCTTCAGCTGGGGGTTGTGTGCTTTGTGCTACTGCGTTAGCTGCTAACAAGAGTCTGTAGCTGCGCAGCGGCTTGTTCTTCAGCTTGGGGGGAGGTGTGTGTGCTTTGACCAGAGAGAGACCAGAGAATACTGCTTTTTTTTTTTTTTTTACAAATTTGAAACCTAATTTTCTATACTTAGAATTTTTTTAATCATATAATTTGGCTGGGCAGTTCGTACCACATTTTTCTGTGGTGTGACAAACACGTTACACATATTTATTTTTGCTTTACCTGGACTTAAACTATACCTGGCATTTTGAGCATATTTGGATATTAGGGGGATGTGTCTCCCCTGCAAATGTATATTATAATTACTACCTTGCATCTATGCTTACCAGCTACCAGTCTTTTCCTCCCTGCCTTTGTTGGCACATTGCTGCATATCCAAAAGGAAAAACAGCTTCAAAGTGCTACCAGAGGGCAAAACCTCCACAGGGAACATTTAACTTTGTGTTTACTTTTTCCCTTCATGCCACAGGAGTTAAACACAACAAAATCTTAACATTTTTTCTCTGTTTCCCTGTTCTCTAGAGGAAAACAACTACCAGGCCCAGTCAGCTGTACCTCTGACCATGGAGACTCATGGAGGAGAGGATGTGGCTGTGTTTGCTAAAGGTCCCCTGGCTCACCTGCTACACGGGGTCCATGAGCAGAACTATATCCCCCATGTGATGGCGTATGCGGCCTGCATCGGCCAGAACAGAGAACACTGTAGGACACGCAGCGGGTCCACCGACTTGCGTCCCGTCCTCTCGAGCATCGCAGCCCTTTTCACAGTCACTCAGCTCCTGTGCTGACCTTCCCCCGATATTCCTCCTCCTGTCAATAACACCGTTTTAACCACTCACACATTTTAAGAGTTCAATTTTTTGTTGTTTTTTAAATTTTCTAATTTTATGTTTTTGATCATGGGACCACTATTGGGGCATTTTTTGTGTTACAATGATTAATTGACAAAAGCACAAGGATATCAGTTTTAATCTGTTCAGGCAAATATGTAAAACACTACAGAATAATCGCCCCCGATGCTCTGAAATGAAAAGTGGTGGTGCAGAGATCACCACAAAGTCCGAGATCTCACAGTTGTGATTTGTCTATTGAGTAGTTAGTTTTCATTCAGGGTTTAAAGACCCACTGAGCCTCTTTGTTAAATGTAAACCCTTTAGGTTTGAATAGATAGATTGGATTTAGAAATGTTGGAATACGTTTAATTGTGCAGTTAACGGAATCTACCTCATAAACCTGCAAAGATTTCTCATGTAATCATGGGCACATTTTGATGGACAAAACTTATGCCAAGATCAGAAGGAACTGAATGTATAATTGACAAAGAAGTAAAAGTTAAATAATTCTTGTTATACACCTTGTGCAAATGTGCAAAAAACCACTGAAAAAGCCCACCTACCATTGTTGTGTCTAATAACATAAGTTGTAAAACCTCTTAACCAATAAAAGAAATGTGTTCTGATCATTGTTTGGCAGTTTTGTTGCAACATTGAAGGGTTAAGCTTCTTCTGGATGTTCTTTATATCAGACATCTTAAAACAGTGAGTTGAGTGTTTCTATAAAACATTACCAAAATCAAATTTATTGACGTTTGACATTTTTTCAAGGACCGACAGGAGGTTATAGGGCAACCTTTGTAAAGAAAGAAAAAAGACCACTTACTGACATTTTCTTGACCAATTAAAGGCTGGTTGTTAAAAAGAAGTGCCATTTTGTACAGACAATCGGTGTGTTCCAGTACCCATGCAACCATATGATTTAGTATGCCAGAAAAAGGTTTAGGGTGCTTTCAGACCTGGAGTTGTCTTATTTTGGTCTGAATCAGGGACTAATTTCGTTACAAAGTTGTATAATTGCCTAGAGTTGGTTCATGTTCTCACGGCAGCATTTACAAGCAATCCAGATAAAATGCCTTGCAGGAGAAAGCTGCTCTTGATTGGTCAGAATTTCCATGTGGGAAAAATCCAAGAAGTAAACAAAATGTTGAAGAAGAGTACACTTGCAAGATAAATGTGACACTTTCTAATGTCACAATGGAGGGACAACTACGCAGGTTGATTTTAGCGCTGCTCATCGTGGACTATATTGCTGTCATTGTTCATTTTAGTCAAACCATACAGTTTGAAAACGAGGCGCGGCTCCAACTAGAAAACAATGTTTTGATGCATTGGATGTGCTGAATGTGCATATTAAGGCAGTACAGGAGGAGGTGCACATTAATAATCCTCAAGGACTGTAACATGCTCATGTTTAACCCAAACAATGTGTCATGTGACTGCAATTAATTCAGATCAAGGTCGGAACACGTTCTCACCACAAACGGACCGCACAAGAGCTCTTTTTTGTAATCCGACTGAGTGTTATTGCTGTGTTCACGCCTGCTCAAATGAACCACAATTAAGGGGCAAATGAACTTGAGTTTGATTGAACCAAACCAAACAGGGCAGGTGTGAAAGCACCCTTGATTTGTCCCAATCCCAGCACAAGGACATCCTACTGCATCCGGTTGCATTTTGCAGTACGTAAGCCAGCATGCTTTTCTCGCTATTCTGACCAACAATCCTTTGAGAAGTGGAGGACATTTCACATCAACTGAACTGCAGATGGATAATGATAATGATAAACTTAGTACAAAAGAAATGCAGCACAAAGTGCTTTACAATAAGGACGCTGCATGCTCTAAGTGCTTCACATGAAAAAGGACACAGAATGAGCATAAAACAGGACAATTGAATATAAAAAGACCAATGTTTCTTACTTTACGTTTTCACTTTAAATTGTGAAATCAGTGACTGTAAATAACCATGGCTTGTCACTGCTCACACACTCTACTCTCCTTTGTTCAGTCTCTCTGTCAGACAGGGCTTCCGAGTTACTCGTCGGTAACGTACAGAGACGGTGCTCCAAACAATGATGACAGATGACAGCTTTTTGACTGTGTTGTGGAATAACAAGACTCAAAACACACAGGATTGGACATCTGAGGGTGTACTCGCAAGAAAGCAAAAGAATTGGTACATCATGACAATTTCTAGTGTCTGACAAACAAGCAGTATCAGTTGACACACCCTACAAGCTTTTCAAAACACATTAAAGGGTGTTTCCTGTCACTTAAACAGCTATTTCCTGTTATCTACATAATGTAAACATACATGTCAGGTCATTTGGCTGAAGTCATCTACACTAAAGGAGTTTATGTCAGGTCATCTACACTATAACAGCTAATTGACAGATGACAGAAGCTGCAATGACTACAATCAATCACAAATAATCTACAATGTATGCAATTATAACTTTAAAGTTAAAACTACATACACTGCAAAGTAGTAATAGCAGAGGTCTCAGGGTTGACCTGTCTCTGGCAAGTTTGGCTGATAGCATACTGTTGTACTGAAAATAGGGATGTCAATGGACAACCATTAATTGCTGACCACTGAGAATATTTTTGACTGCATACACGTCGATCTATTATCTGGTAATTTTGCTACTCTTCAATTTGCTGCACTGCATATCACCACGTTCTGGTAGGAGAAAGCTAATAGTGGTGCTCATTTGGCAATTACTGCTAGTAATGCTGTCCCAAGTCAACAGTGTTGCTATGGAAACAATGTGCCCCCCTCTGACCTCCTCACGGGTGGTCCTGGTGAATAAGGGCCTTCATTTTGAACCGCAAATCCCTTTAGCATTGTTAACCATGTCATCACTGCCAGCCCTGTTAGTACCATTAGCAGTGCCAGCATGGCTAGTGGTGCTAACACAATTAACAATGCTAAAGGGGTTTGTGGTTAATTGGGGTGCTTGCTTGCCGGGCCTACATGGGGGAAACTGAAGTGGGACAGCATTACCAGTAGTAATCACTGAATGTGCAGCATTGCTAGCTAGCTCCTACCTGACCTGGGTGGTGCTCAGTGAAGACCGGCTAGCTAACTAGGGGAGACCAGAGGGTGGACAGTGTTTCCCATTGTAAATGCAGCTAGCCAGCTGTTTGTTAGCAAAGCCAACAGAAAATAAAAGAAAGGCAAGACATTTACCTTATAAAACATTAAAATTACACCATTACAATAGATAGTGCTTTAAAATGTCACGCTAAGGCTCAGTGAGTAAATGGAGCACTGGACTTATAGGATTTCACCTCATTTTGCGTTTTTGTCTCAGTTACCAGTTAATGGGTGTGGGGCTATCGAAAGCAAAATTAACCGAAACTAGCATCACCTCATGTCCAAAGTCACATTAAGTGACTTCTTTTTAACAGCCTGACTGATTTCTATCAAAGCAACAATATGTAGCCTTTTTGCCAATTCATGTTTCTTGCTATGTATGTTATTTTATGCTCTGTACAATGACCTTGGGTGTTTTGAAAGGTGCCTTTTAAATAAAATGTATTATTATTATCATTACTATTAAGGGCCCGTCCCAATGCCCCCCCTTAGCCCTACCCCTTGGCCCTACCCCTAGATTTGCGCATTCCTGCGAGGGGTAGCAGTGTCCCAATTCCTTTTTGTGTGTAGGGGTAGGGGGCATAACGAGGGGTAGTGGGTGTGAAACTAGCCCATTCGGAGTGAGGGATTTCAGATGCTGACTTGACAGTGAGGGGTAGACGTCGCCATGGCTACCACCATGCAAGAGATGGGGAAAAAGTTTTTATTGCTATCCACGATGTCTAGGTTGGAGGTGACAGAAAGCTAGCCAGCTAGCTAACATTACCGTCGTCAGGTTGCTTGTTAGCTAGCTAGCTAGCTCGCACTATCTGGCGTCCGTCATCTGTCCTGTTCTGCAAAATTGTCGGATTTTTCACATTACGATAACACACCAGCTAGCATAACTATGCTGCCTCACAATGTTAGCTGGTTAGCTAGCTAGCTAGCTAGCAGAAGTCCCCTGTCGTACATATCATTTCGTCGTCTGTTGTTCATCAAACGAAGCATGATGAATTCAGCAAACGTGATCGGTAGGATGAACTCAACTGGAGACTCCATTGTAGATGCCAGTTGGAAATGTAGATGGCTCACAGCTTCCTGTTTAAAATAGTTACGGATGTGTGAACGTAACCAATGCAGTGACGTAGTGAGTGGTGTCCCAATTCCTAGGGAAAGATTTCAACCCCTACCCCTCGTTGCTTCATTTTGAGGGTCACGGGGTAGCGGGCAATGGCTAGGGGTAGGGCCAAGGGCTAAGGGGTAGTGGGAGGGGGGGGGGGGGGGGTGTTTGGGATTGGTTTGGGAGGGTCAAAGTTCAAGGTGCAATGTGATGAAAAAATAGTACTTCCCACTTGTTTGCATCCTCCATGCAACAGTATGTACTCTGTAAGGGCAGCTGCAGTACATACTCTGAGTAAAGGAAAAAGTATGCCATTCAGAAAGCAGCAATGACTTCAACGCAAGGTCAGAAACAGTTCATGTAAAACATCACACAAATTTGTTATTGTCACACAGCAGAAAAACCTGTTCGTGAACATCCTTTTTAATCGGTGTCACATATGTTGTATGTTGTACTTTTCCATCTGCTCTGTCGTGGCGTGTGTGGAATGTGAATGGACCGAAGCCACTCATTCTTTTGCATCGTGGCCACTGCGAAAACAGAGGACTCATGTTGGCTGAAGCATGAAAAGGGGACGTTTATCTTAAAACGGGTACAAAGGACAGTCCTCGTGCTGTCATTTGTGCATTCTCAGTATCGGCGCGCATAACAGAATCTAGTGAGGCCCTCGGGGGCCCACTTCATGCTTTTATGTAGTCTTGCTTTGCTGATTAGGATTTTTCTTCTGTTCCTCTTGGCAGCTGAAAATCGTTGTCCTGTAATCCTGTTTTATCTTTTGTATTCTATAAATAGATAGATGACGATGGGTATCAGATTGTATGGCATGAATATTCAAGTGGGCTTTCAACCCCCAACCTCCTCTCACTTTTCAGATATATTTGTACATGACTCACAGTGCTTCTTATGTTTCCTGAATAATGGAACCTTTTATTCTCTAAAAGCGGGTGATGAAACCAGGATAAGGCTCTGTATGTACAGTACATTAAAGTGACTGTCAATGACAACACGGCTAAGATGAAGAACAATAGCTGAGGTCTTCCTCTTTCATGACATTTCTCAGCTGGAAGCGACTATAGAAAGCTCTATAGAGATGCCTGAGGTGTGCCTCCCCAGACGTACAATTTTCCCGTGCAAGCCATAATGTCTGGTGAGTTCACATCACAGAGCCATGCGTAAGGCTGCAAACTCGAAACACTGTAATTTCCTACATCTCAAGAGTCTTACCATAATGGGATCTTGCCTTTTTATCCAGCCAGTATGTACACAATGTCCACAATTATTGTGCAGTAGTTGCAGCATTTGCCTGCTTGTACAGTATGTAGTAAGTAGAAATGTGCTTTGTACAAGCCCTGCTGCTGTGTTTTATAAGTTAGAGAGGACTTTTTCTACCATTCCAGGCCGTCATTATCCTGGTTACAGACATCTGAC